ACCAATTGATCCAATAGTCATACCTCATCAGTGGTAAGGATGGCGTTGTGTCCTCTGTGTGGCCCCAAACTGTCCATCTGTTGCTCCCTTCTGTCCATTTGGGGGATCATTATGTTGACGATAATGGGGGGACTCCTGAAGATGAGGTCCGTTGCGTTCGCCGAAGACCTGCTGAAGGACGAGAAGGCCGCAGACATCGACGCCTTTATGAAGATCGCCGACGAGAAGTACGACAACGCGGCCGTCAGCACATGGATGGCCGCCGCCATATATGTGGCCACTCTTGCCTTCAGTCTCTTCCAGGCCTTCCTCAACAAGAAGGCCGACAAACTGTAGCACACAAGACATCACTCGCACCATAACTTCCCCAATATCTGCTATTTACGGATCCGTTCTCAACATATCGTCGCCTATTTTGAAGACATTTCAGTGCCTTTTCATTGCCTTTTCTACAGATGTTTTCAATCACTTCTTATCCACTCTTTGTCCGCAAAGTATTGGATTTGAGCTAAATTTGTATCATTGAGTATATGATGGGATCAACTGAAGTGATCATCATTTACTAATTTAGTTGATAATTAATGTCTAAATGATATCTATTCTGACATTTAGTTTACGTTACTATGAATTGAATGCAAGAATATATTCCCAAAAAATTACAATATTTCCCGTTTTGTGCCTTAATTTTGAAAATATTTCCTAAATTAGGACTAAAATGTTATTTAATTATTTCTATTATATAATCAAGTGTTAAGTCCACAAATAATTGTGATAATTGTCGGACCAATGAATTGATGGACTGATAAGACATGTAATTTGTTAACTAAATAACTCATAGATTCAGAAGTTTGATATATTTGATGTAAAAATTATGTGAACATTATGTTTGAATTGTTTTTATTTTGTCAATCAATGAGTCCATACCTGAGATAAACATTTATTTATTATATTATTTAAACGGAATTTATATAAAATTAGTTTGGATTTTAATTTTGAATTATGTATTGATTATGTATTTTGAAATTGATATTACAGTATAAATACAAGTTTTTATTTGATTTAATTAAATAAACATTTTTAAATTTATTTAAATTTAAGTCTTTTTAACATTTCGTAAACATTTAATTGAGTTTAAATTACATAATTTGTTAATTAAGCTAAAACGACAACAAATGAGTGAATCAATTAAGAGATTATATATCACAGAATATTTTGTCAGATTGTGTACACAAATGGACAGACAGTGGGTGTCTATCATGTCTTGTGTGCCTCAATGCTATTGTTATTATTTTCGGGGATCTTCTCTGAGTTGAGCCAAAATGTAGTCATAGTTCCCTTGCCTTTGATGGGTATCTCTCCGCGCGATTCCGTCACAAA